ACAAATGAACGCTTATTCGACTGGTCACGAGAGAAATATGTCACGAAATGGAAACAGTAAATTTCCAATACTCGAGATTGCTCACAGGGGAAATAATGTTTTTTATATAGCTCAAATATCAGATTATATCTATACCGATACTATTCCTTGATTCTTGATGTTTCGGTTGTTTCATTTCATTGATGTCAACCGTTTTTTCATTTTCAATTAACACTGAGTGCTCTTTATCATTTATTTGAAATATTTATATTTTAATAGAAAACAGTTAAAATAAGTACCTTTTTGTAATAAAAATTTGCGAACCATCTTATTTGCAATATCGATATAGCAAAAAATAATTTAGCGTTAGTCGCAAAATAATAACGAAAATCATTCTAAATCTAACGCAGATTTTAGAGCAAATAATAATAAAGACGATCTCATCTCAGGTCCCGCCGAGAATTGAACTCGGATCGCAGGATTCAAAGTCCTGTGTGCTAACCATTACACCACGGGACCTTTGAATAATGACGTTGTGAATCTGAAAAGATATATAAAGTGTAGTTTTCTTTAAGTCTTATAACAAGCGATCGGCAGAATGACATCGAAATCGATACATTATCGACGTTAAATTTTATCATCTAGAAACTTTTCAACTCCCAACAATACAGTTGAAACAGCTTTCATCATATGATATTTGAAAGAATATATATGATAATAATGAAGTTATCTCAGATGTCATTAGATCAATGCTTTTGATGTAGTAAAGATGATTTGGTATTAATTCTTTTCGTACACAAATACGACACATTTTTATTCGTTATATCATAACGTATTATTGGACGCGTGGAATTGTATATACGCTCCCATCCTTATCTTTATCTTCACAATAATGAATTTTTACAAAAGTACGAAACTATTCTCACAATATACTATTCTTCTTTTCCGTCATTTCGACAAATATATGCGACCAGCCGAAATAAGTTGATGAAAAAATGGATGTATATTGGATAGAAGGAAATTAACGGAAAAATAAAAGAACAGAAGGAATTAAAACTTGGACAAATCGAAATTATTGTAAAAAATCTGTGTAGATTAGGCACATTCGCATATTCTTAAAGTTCTTTTACGAATTTTTTATTAACGTTAAGAAATCATGCATTTACTTCATGTTCGGTAAAAGCAATGATGGTTAATATTGCTCCACCAAGCTCTTCTTTCCTGCTGATAACTCTATTCTCTTATCTTTCTCGACTACTCTGGTACAATGAGTCTTTATCGGAGGAAAAAAAATAATACTCAAGGCATTGATAAAGTAATCGGGGATATTGGTAAAAATTCGGTTTATTTAGTAAATTCGGCTTATCGAGGATGAATTATTATCGTTATGTTTTAACGTCAGCTATTTTATTGGGATCGACAAATAAAAGGTTAATTTGTTATCGTGAGACGCGACTGTATTTTCATCAATTGGCTGCGTACGTGATAATTATAAAGCATACGAACACTTACTCGAATCAGCAAAAGGAGAAAATATTAGAGGACAATATTATAATTTCACTGCAAGTTATGCAGGGACGGATATAGATGAATTATCTCAAAGTGTCAGGAATATAATCTCGCAAAATGTTGCCGACATAAATAAAGATGAGACTAAAGCATTTAAGTTGTATCGATGCCTTTAAATCAGCAAAGGGTGGTAATAATGTGGGTCAGTATACGGTGGGTATATGTTATGAATTTGATGAAGCGACAAAAAAAGAAGAGAACATAGCATACAAGACGTCTGTAAATTCTCGAAATATTAAACATCCTTATTTATTAGTAATTCCAAGCGTCACTATGGGAGAAGGATAATATTAGAGGTTTGAGACGCTAAAAGCAAATCAACAAAATTTAGGCGCGTGTTTTATCAATATTTTCGTATAGTCATATTTTATATTTATATATTAACTAGAATAATGTGAGCTGTAATTTGGTATAGTAGTCCTTCTTTATAAGAACATAACAAAAGTGTTCTTCTAGAGAGAATTTGTTTTTATTATAAATGTATTTTTTTATTACAAGTTTAATAATAACTGGTTCCAAGTGAAGAGGATTCGACGAAATATCCATGTGATGCAAGTCACAAGACAAGTTATAATTGATCGATAAGATCAAGATTTCTTTTCACGATAATATTACTATTTATGTATTTTTTGTGTCTCTGAAATAATACGCTTCAGACAAAAGAAACGTCACTCTATTTAGTGGTAAGTTCAAACGTATGGAAAAGTGTCTATATGATTCCATTTTTTACATTTTCACACTAATTTAATTTACTTTTGACTTTTGAAGAATTATTAAGTGAAAAAAAGTTGAAGGCAGGTTTGAACTTTAATCAATTTATGGTGTGTATTAACAGAACAGAATGCGTTTGAGTTGTCAAGAAAATTGGATTGCTATTGGTATTTATCAAAATTTTACATTTTTCAATTAGTGAATTCATCGTCATCATCTAGTATAAAACAAGAAAAAACAAGAAACAAATAAGCTGCTATTATGAGTGATGGTCGTGATGTTGATGATCCTGATATCTCTTCGGAGATATTTAATAAGACTGCCGAAGTAATTAATTCTTTAGTAATTTGACGATTATAGTTATTTATTTTCAAAATTCATATTGTTCAAATCTTTTCTTTGCTATTAAAGGTCATTAGAGCATATGATAATGCATTCGGCGCTTCAGTTAAAGCTTCTCAAGCATTTTTCGATTTACAAACAATCCTTCCACCGTGTATGAGAATGGGAGTAATCACAGGAATTCCACCATCAACTGATGTTGAGATGCCCTCGGGCGATGAACAATATATCTTAACACAACCACAATCATCTGCTTCTAATACTCTTGGATCTTCAGCAACGAGTAATTCCGCTAAAATAAGAATCACTTCAACAAAGTCTAGACAACGTAATTCACGATCTAGGACTAAAAGTGACGATAATTTAGCTGCTGAAGAGAATATATCAGCAGTTGATTCGTCACGCCCGAATAAAAGACACAGAAGATCGAGGTCATCCAAAGCAAAGATACCTGTTAAGAGTGAAGATGACGAAGCAAATGAAGATGAAAATGCCGTGTTGTCATCGAATACTCTTGGTCCAGAAGAGCAGGCTGCATTTGATTCGGATCTGCTCTCCGCATTTCAAGCTGTATATGAAAGACGTATTGCATATGATAAAATTTCACAGAAAAAACTGGCTATTGAATTAAATGAATTGTCCAATGGGAAAACGGCCATTGTTCAAGGTACTATGTCGAAATTAATTCGCGGGGTTGCTGTGCCAAAGGACCAATACATCATTGCTGCAATTCAAAAATGGATTGATAGAGAGAATTCAAGAGCTCATGAATACGAACAGCAACAAGAAGATCGAATGGAAATAGACGAGGTTGAAGCGGAGGATGAAGTAGATGCTGAGGCTGAAGAAGATGCTGAGGCTGAAGCAGACACTAATGCTACCGCCGAGCTTCAAGAAGCTAAGGCGGATGCTGCGGCTGAGGTGGAGGCAGAGATTAAAATAGACACTAATGAGGAAGCAAAAAAAGAAGCCGAGGTTGAAGCTGAGTTAAAGCCCGTCATAGAAAAAGAGACCGAAGCTAAAGCTGAATTAGGTACAGATACGGACCCGGACAAAGAAACTGAACCAGAACCAGAGACACAAATATCGGAAGCCGCAACAAAGAAAGAAAGAGCAGAAAAAGAAAGAGAAAGAAGAGAGGGAGAGGGAGAGAGGGAAATCGAAAAAGGAAAGAGATTAGAAAAGATGGTGGAATAAACAGTCATTTGCATAATTATGATGGTTATCAACATTTTTATAGAATTATCCCTGAAAATTATCTTTTTATATTTCAAAGATTCTGGTTTTTTTTTTAAATTCCCTCTTTTTATTTTTTATATACATGCCGTTTGTCATCATCTATGTCTCTTAGATTCAATTAGCTCACTTCACTTTCAGCTTTTGTTCTCTGAGCTATTATGTGTAAATATTGCTTTTTTATATAAATTCCAAAACTTTTAATTCTTTTTTGTCATTATACCTTTATTTCACCTCTGCGGCCAAAAATTATGCTTCTCTCAAATATCTTACACAACCAACATCATTCAATTAATCAGCCAAACATTATATTGTAATTTCACTTTTTCTTACTGCTTTATTCGAATGGACCAAATGGACTGTCAATTACCACTATTTGGATACAGAGATTTTTCCCGTTCATTTTAATTATTGTTGTTGGTTTCTTATCTGAATTCGATTTATGTTATCAATTTTGATAAAAATAATATCTTTTTCATTTTTTCGATATCAATTTTTTTGGTGTTTGATATTTAATAAAACTTTGTTTTTTTGGAAGGATTCATTAAATCACCATAGTTTGAGACGAGCCGTTGATTTATTACAATGCATTAATTTTGTCCCATTCTAATTTATGATGATTTAGTCAGATTATTAATTCCCACCCTCCAATACAATTTACTTTAAAGAAACACCACCATATTCTTTTATTTTATCTCTCCATTTCATTGATTAGTCGCATTAATTAATTATCAAAAAAAAAAAACAAAAGAATAAAGTTACTAGCGGGATTTGATTTTGGATATTCGAGATTATCAATGCTTTCCCTTTGCATTTTAGAACCGCCATTTTGATAAATCTCCGGATGCTACGCCAGACTGTCAAATATTTCTAATCAACTCGTCAAAATTTGATTCTGTTGATTTTTCGAATAACTTGTTAATCTTTTATCTCCAATTGGTGGAAATGCAACTGGACAAAATTGTCTTGCTTGACATCATGAAAATGATATCGGGTAACATACAAGGTATTTGAGGGTGTAAACATCTTCGGCTTGGTGATTGTTAGCATGACGGCATTGATGTACAAAAATCAGGAAATTATTATACAAAACTTTTGATTACTGAACGATGAAAATTAGCAAATAATTCAACATTTCTTCCATCAATAGAATGTGATTTGGCATCACGCATGTACGCCAGATATCAGGTGCGTTGATATTGGGAGATAGCTGATATATCTCCTGCCCGTGAGACTACACTAATATTTTCTCTATATTTTTCATTATATCGGGAGATATATACGATTATCTTCTCGTAGAAACAAAAGAGAAATAAATAAAATAGAAATTGTTAGATATTGAATATATTCATGTGTTTATTAACGGTTGTTCAATGTCAATTTTTGTCAATATACTTGCATTCTTACCTTTGAATCGACCACATCATTGACATATCGAACCCTGACACACTATCAATTGCTAAGTCGTCATTATTATATTCGTCAGTGCTCAACCGGTTGATCAGTCGCAAATCGAAATTCTTTTGGATACCATCCGCTTCTCCATAGAAATATTGCAAGCTGTAAAGTTTTCGCTATACAATTCTTTATTTCTTTCTTTGTTGTTCTCAGAAACAAAACCGTACTCCTTCACTAGCAATGATGGGTTCTTGAACTCTAATCTTTTGACTGAAGCTGTACAAACCAGCAACAGACATGCTGTTCCTAATCTTGTATAATCTCGGACACTATTGTAGAAAATAAAAGGAAAAAATCAAAGCTGAATACCTTTGATTCCTCCATTCTAGCCTAGTATCGACCAGCAGTGTGGAAAAATTATTCCACTCCTTACTAATTACGTATCGTAGTCGTTTCCTGAGAGACCGTTCTTATGATCCGGTGTTTAAATACAATTTTATAGACTAGTCTAGTTATAGCCGTTATCGCGAGCTTTAATGCTTCAATCTGCTCGTCTCGATCTTTCGACATACTGATCCAAATAGAAGATCGAAGCATTGATTCAAAATCGCACTTGCACCATCTCAACGATGTAAACAATGCTAAACCAGTTTTCGCGCCCGCATATCACATGATAATACATGCGATTTAGCATTAATTGACGTTTTCATCGCACGAATAAACAATGATCTACATGTAAATTCTTTATGGTTGAACACGGACCAACTAATTTGGTCAAATAAAAGGATTAAGTAATCAATCGTAAAAAAAACATCCAAAAATATAATTGATTGTCGAAATGCATTAACCATATTGCAGATCATCCGATGAAATTTCCCGTCTTACCCGAAAAGGATGAAACACTCCGCACTATGCAAATGAATTATGTAAAGTCGGAATTTCAATGACCTTCTCACGTGTTTTCTTTGCTCAGCAAACTCGTCCATATCAATCTTCCTACGTCTATTATGCACTCTTTCATTTAATGAATCCCAATGCACACACATTGCAACCGGAGAATTTCAAGACAAAGTCTAGACTCCGTCTTCCGTATGTAAGTGGATCTACCTTTAATAGCATCATTAATTTAATTAGTTTCTAAGCGCATGTGCAGGTCAATAGGAATGATACTATTATTGTTTATTGTATGCCATTTACGGAAAGTAAATCGGAGAATAAACTTTGAGGTCCAACCCCCTTAACCACCCACCATCCTTGACAGACAAAGTATTGTGTAATCGGAAGAATTGTAACAATGCATTTCGGAATATTCTATTGCTTGTATGTGTGACACGATTCATATAAACCTTGCCAAGTTGAGAGGGCACCACACATACATGTATATATATGTTGTGCCTCAGATTTGCGTCAGGTGTCGCTTCGCGTGATTTTATTTGGCCAACATTAACCTATTCACCAGTACTAACCGTAACCCTAACCCTAACGCTAGTAATACTCCTATCTTAATTTAGGCCGATCGACACTTGAGGCACAACATATATATACATTGTCATTATCGGAAGAAATGGTTTCGTGTATGCAAATCTAGGCTATTCTATTAGATCTGCTGTACGATTATTTAAGAGTCAATTCGAAATACGCATATTAGTATATATATACATGCATACACACAATCTTGTCGTGATGTTAGTGTTTGTTTAATCTGAGCTTGCCAATTTCGATAATATAAATAAATTAGCTGGCAAGTGGTAGTCAGATCTTTATGTAAGAGCCAAGACCATGTAATAAAATGCATACGTTTTTGTTGATAAATTTTTAAGGTTTGTGTGTCCGTGTATAAATAATTAATTGAATTTGAGTCTTGTTTTGAGATTCTAGATCATGGTCTAGATCCTTGGCATTCACAAGTATTACCGTATTACAGAAAATAATTCAAGGATAAATGTGCATTAATACATATACAATCTCGAAAAAAAAAATATTTTTATGTATCTTGTGGCGTAATTGATTTTACGTGGGTGTAATGCTGTCCTTGCTGTTGCAAAAGCGAAGCATGTCCAATAAGTTATTCATTCGTTCCGAATCTAAACATTGCTGTTGGTGTTTCAAAATAAATGAATTACCAATACCTCACATTATTATTATATATACATATACTTTAAATTCAAGGTAACAATATTCGGCTCTATAATCCGATCCTGACTACAGAATTGACTATAATTTATTTAGCGTCTTGTGCACCCAATCGGGAGTTTTACAATTGTTATCACCCAATAATAAGAATGTGATATTTGAAAACTTTTGGCTATGCATGACATGATGCGTGTATTTATGTTCTTTTAGTTGCTATCTGGGACCATCTATGATACTACGTAGCACACACGCTGTAAATGTTAATCTTGACCAAATTTTTATTTTGATACAAGAACAATGAAATCCTCATTTGACTATCTATCCGAGCAAGAAAATCAGCGATTGGTCGAAAAAAGGACAACCTGTCATTTTCACTTGGTCAACTTTTTTTCGCGTGTTATGAATAAAAAAAAACTGCCATGGCGTGGGGACTTGATGATGGTAGTTGGAATTTATTAACATGAATGGATTGTATACGTACTTTTTATGCATGAATGAATGACCCGGAAAATTACTCTTTTTTTGTTTGTTTATTTTTTTTAGCAAGATTTATATATATCGGGGAATTTATGTTGGCGTATATGGGTGTGTGAATATTTGGCTATGAAAGATTTGCCAATAAAAGTTACTTTCACCCCTATTTTATTGATGTATGAACATCTTTTGTACCAATTCCCCGCCAAAAATATCTATGACACACGGATCTCTTCTCTTTATTCGTTACTATTAAAAAACTGGTTTTTATCTTGACCTGACTAAAGTTTACTAATAGAGAAAAGAGAGAACGCGCGTCGCGTTAATTCAAGATAACTATAACAATACTAACCAGCTGGTACATCGGAAAAATAATGATAATCTCGGGCGTTATTTTAATAAACCAAAAGGATGATTCTAAATTACGTCGAACTGGGTGACAAAGAAGATTTTCCGAAATTAATTTCATACTAGATTTAATTAAATCGGGTTGCTTACTTGTTTTCGGGATGAAGCAAAGAACAAACAAACATTACATATTAAGACGACGGAGAACCATCAATTCATCCCGTCCTATTATTATTGGATCCGAGAAGAAAAACGAAATTTCACCTCATAAATTTACTTATTTTGGATAATCCCACAAAATGGTGGATGATTGTCCGTTGCAAATGATAAAAGCGAGTTTTTCCGATTCTTGAAAGCATGGTATTTTTTCGTGCACTTCACACAGAACGAAGGAACGATCGAAAAAAACATGCCTTGACGACAAAAAGCAATGATTGAATGTGAAAAACAACTATTGTATAAAAACGCATCAATCGAACGACGTGTGAAAGGATCGGCGTGACATCTACTGAATTAATTCTTTTTCTAACATCTAAAGAAAGAATAGCGATGGATAATGTGACGACGAGAGAAGAGGTCACCGAAATTTTGCAGTCATTACACCATTCAAAATTATGGATTATTATTATTATTATTATTAATGTACAAACTTTTGTTTTATTATACACGAAACTGTCATAAAAATTGATTTTTACTATTTATACAAAGAACAGATTTATTGAAGTATTTACTATTTAAGGATTTGTTATTATATATTATTTTATGTATTCATATAAACAAAAAAAAATAAAAGATATCGACTGCTACGCCGCCGAAATTCACTTTGTATATCCAAAAAATGTAACAAATCAAAATCTACTTTACTATTATTAATACAATATTTACTAGTTACACAATAACGAATTCACGCTCATCCGTGTAGGAGATTCTCCATCTTCATCAACAACACCACCACCCAACTCATTAACTATCGATCGTGCAGTTGCATCGAATAAGGGGTTATTTATTAATGTTGACGTGGTAGAAGTGATAGTGCCAGTGGTACTAGTGGGATCAGCATTGCATATTCTGTCACCGTCATCATAAGTTGGAGTTAATGGTTGATGTTGTAAATGTAAATTGGGGTTATGTCGTTGATTGTTACTACGATATACACGTCCAGAATAATATTCCTTAAGTAAATTGGGGTGTGGATGTGAATCACCTCTTTTATTATTATTATTGTTATTGTTGTTATTATAAATCGTCAAAGCAGGATCTATGCTAGTAGTTGGAGATGTAATTGGAGGGTTAAACAAAGGAATGCTTCTTTTTTCAGCATGTAAACTTAAAGGTGATGGAATATTCGAACGTGACAAAAGAGGCGGAGTGTCTGTGGATATTGGAGTTTGGGGTGGTTGTAGGTAATGAGCTTGATGTTGTTGATGATGGTAATGTTGACTAGACGGAGGAAGATAACGTGAATTTTGATAGTTGAATTGTTCCGAGTGGATAAGAGCAGACGATTTTGATGCTTGATTTCGTTCTGGGGTGTATGATCGACTCAGTAACGAGCTATCATTATCACGAAGTGATGGATCAATCACCGGAGATAATATTGGTGAATCCAAAAGATCCCCGTTATTACTATTACTGATCATCGGATTGGGAGTTTGTGGATTATTTGGAAAATTCTGGGTGAAAGAACTATTATTGTTTTGAATCGTAGTGGTGGCTGCTGCTGACAGCCCAATATTATGTTTCATTTTTGTGAATAATCCGACAATATACAAATTATCCCATGTTTCTTTCCGTGACAAATCACCACCTAATCCACCTCCGAGATACATTTGAACACTATAATAGGCAAATTCTCCATTACGTGCTCGAAGATTGAAATAGTCCGTAGCTTCGACAGTTCGACCACCACCACCATTCATCATTAACGCAGGCTTCATTAATTCTTCAGGGGCAACAGTATAAAATCTCGAATCTTTTGTGGTGATTGGTTGTGGATGAGTATTATTAATTGTCGATGTCCCGGAAAAGTTTGAATACAATTGATGATGAGATTGCGAGTGATTTTGATGTGGATTATGCTGATGATGATAGTAATTATAATCGTGAGCTCTTTCTAACAATGAGTCAACTAATTTTTGCATTTTCTCGGGATCTTGTTGATGCATGAAACTAAATAATGATTTGTGTGCAAGTTCTGTGGGATAGTACCCCATGATACCTAAACATTCATCAGAGACACGTGCACATGCAACTCCATTTAACGTCAGAAACATTGTAATGACCGGTGAATTTTCTGATAGTAGGGGAGGTGCTATTGTAGTCGATGGTGGTGGTGCAACTGCTGGAGTTGATTGTTGTGGTGGTGATAGAGGCTGAGTTTGTGTTTGTAGTGATCGATGAAATGACAATGATGGAGGAGTGGGAGGAGGATGATAGGGAGAAGTCGTATTTGCCGGTGAAGATAACGGAATAAACTTAGGTGATCTCAAGTATGGTGAACTATCATGATGTGCCTGAATATGTCGTTGATGATGATGATGAGGAAGGTGTTGACGATGATGTTGATTTGGATGAATATCCGAAATTGATTGTTGTGATGATGATAATGCTGATGATGACGAAGGTGTCATAAATTGTGACGATTGTACAAGAGATTCAGTGGGAGGTGGCTGTTTTAAATTATTCGTAGGCAAGAAATGGAGAATCTGTTGTTGATGTTGATGATTTGATGGTGGTGGTGGTGGTGGTGGTGGATGTTGTTGTGATTGTTGTTGATGATGGTGATGCTGATGGTGATGGTGATGCTGACGGTGATGCTGTGATTGCCCCCACGTTTTTGCATCAGCAGTAGCATAAGTGCTATAAGGATATGTTTTTTTATCCTTTAGTTTGGGACGACCACGTTTTTTATGTTTTATGTCAATACACGTGTCTACTTTTCCAAGTGCTACACATCGTTTGCATGGTCTTGATACTAATCAGAAAAAATAATTTTTTAATTAATATAAAGGATAGAAAAACGGAGTTTGAAAAAAAATTTCCAAAATTGTTTAATGCAAAATGAAAATCTCTCCAACAACAAATAATTGAACAAGCATACCATCACAAGCCAAGTGAGCGCGCTTACAATTGACACACGCACTCGGGACGTGAGTCTTATTTGTTCTTTTTAGAGCTGCTGCCGATATTCCATTTGGATCAAGTGTTGATGGTGAGGAAGAGGAAGCAACAACAGTGGATGCATCGATACTTGATAATCCCATGGTCGAGGAACCAATATTAGTTTCGTTATTATTATTATTATTATTTGTGTGATTATTAGTAGTAGTAGTAGCGGTAGCAGTAGTAGTATTGATGCTATTGGTAGAACTATGAGATGAATAACCAGGTGAGTAAAGTGGTGATGAGTAGTCGCTTATTACTGATGTCTTTTGGTGAAGTTGATTATGTTGGGAATGATAATGTGACGACGACGTTGGTGTTATTAAAGAGATATTACTGTTGTTGTTGTTAGTAATACTATTATTCGTATTATTATTATTATTATTATTACTATTACTATTCGTATTATTAGTAGTAGTATTAGTATTAGTAGTCGTAGTAGTAATAGTAGTAGTAGTAGTAGAAGAATTAGTGTTCGAATGTGGTGAAGAAGCGGCGTCGTTCAATGAATAAGAAGATAATGAGACGAAAGGGGGTTCTGCTTGCGATGGAGCGCTCATATTTTTATTGTCAGTTTGTTGAAAGCGAAGAAAATAGTAGGCGAGAGTTTAACTCTTTCTGTTTTTGAGATAGGTGTTATTTGCATGCGTATCTGTTTATAATTTAGTAAACAAACACTACAAGAAATAAGAAAAAGGAGGATTGATTAAAATGTATAATTGATCAAATATTTAGGTGTGAAAATTCTTAGTATAGTGGAAAAAAATTCGAATTGAATTGAATCGGGCGAAAATATTTTTGATAGTGGAAAGAAGAGTCAATCTTAATAGCGAAGAAAAGTACGTGACTCTTAAAAAAAAAAAGGTATAGAAGAGATAAGATAATAGAATAAAAGAATAATATAAACAAATAAATATTTATTGTACCTTTCTTTAAAGGAGTTATTTGGATGGTAATTGGCGGTACTTTGTTATAGATGTTGTTTTACTATCTATTGTTATGTATATTAGCGGTAGATATTGTATCAAGAAGGCATATATCTTTTAGGTAGCAAATTTTTTGAATGTTTCGCTAAACAAGCGAGTAATATCGATAAAATTAGGATAATTAATCAAGAAAATTTATTTCTCGGAAGAAAAAACGCTGTATGTATATATATAACGTTTTGTGTCCCGTCTTTTCTACGAGTCAAACCGAGCCAAACCAAAAAAAATAACTTTTTTGGGCGAGCTTTTCGACATATAAATACATGGAGTAGTAAATAATTAATAATATAGAATTATATAATAAGACGATTAACTTGTTTAACCAAATATATTTAATATATACAAATACAAATATATATATGTGTGTATGTATGTATGTATGTATGTATGTATGTATAGTAAATATACTATCCTCTCGCTTTATTTTCCCACATCAATCAATTAGTAATAGACAAAAGCAACAACCAACCAATCAAACAATTATTTATATTAATTGATTTGATAAGTAATGTGATTGTGAAAAAGTTTATTAATTATTACGTTATCTATTTACGAAAGGGAAGTGCTAGTCTTAAGACGAACGGGATGATTTTTTAATTTCGTTAATTAACTCAATATTCGTGCATTAATAATGCTAAATGTTATTATTATTTTCGTAGGAAATTTTTATTATTAAATTATTTAGTTGTATTTTTTTCCCTTGACATATTATCACATTATTGCATGCGTCGGTGAGTCTCACATCTCTTTGGTTTAAAGTCAAGATCGAACCGGGATCAACGTCATCGTCGAATTGAGTGAATCTTGTTTTGTAATCTTCTTTGTATTCAAATATACAAGTGACTTTCTTTATAGTGTACCCCCGTTATAGTGGATAATATTCAAAGCTGCCTCTAATAAAATCCACTCGATATAGTAGATTTACCAATAAATTTTCAAAAACTCTCGATATAGTGGAAAATTTTTTGCTAGAAATATGTAGCTTTTTTTGATACACTATAAAGAGATTTACTGTGTAAATAAATCTAAAAACGCGTGAATTTAGGAATATCTTTGTGACGATTTCTTATGTTTAATAATCGATGAACGAATTCTAAAAAAAAAAACAACAACCAGAATTTTCTTCTGTTGAGATAAATAATAACAAGATACCAAGACGACGATGATGACGACCTAACGCTGACATATTATTAGCGTTAGCGTTAGCGTTAACGTTAGTGTTAGTTTAAGACTTACCACTTTGGTTATGGTTTACTCCAAAATTGTTTCTACATATATAGTAAATTATACGTCGTGTCGCTCTCGTCGATCTTTATGTTTAGTTGTACTACCTGTTTTGACCTAGTGTTTTTTTTTTAGTTTTCTTCACACACAATTTTAAATTCATCATTATGAGTGTGAAAACCTTTTCCATACGCGTCGATAATGGATTCTCCGCACATACGCACGGAATAAAGTTTAAGAATTGGTATTTGCTTCGGTTCAAGAATTTTTATTAGTTAATTTAATTAACCTAAACTCTAGACGTATCTTTGACCAATTAATTAATTTCCTTTCTTGCTTCTTTGGCTTTAAAGTTGCTTCTTTTTTTTCTGTGTTTCTCTCGGAGACTTCTCCGAATTACCTTTACGATTACTAATTAGTTAAGGAGGTATTTTGGACACACGTACACGCGTACACGAACGGAGAAAGAAAGAAGAAAGAGGAAAAGGGTAGTTGTCAATGAAGTCATTAAATTTTTTCCTTTCTTCCTGACTACCACTATCTTAGCATATCTCTCTTTTCCATATAAGAAAATCACATCACATAGTCGGAGCTTTTTATATAATAAATATGATCTACCTCGCATACTTGTTTCATCACTAATATATTTGCCAGATTCTCAATTTTACTGATTGGCTTTATGCTATCTAAAAAGATCCAATAAATAGGGTACTTATTAAGAAAGGGGAAAGGTAAATACGCACATATATTCAACGGAGGTTTTGTTAAATGGTTTATGAACACACTTCAAAATAAATCGATTAATGAATACATAATCCCCATTCACGCATAATACGTATGTAACTTGGTCGGAAAATATCGGTTATAGTAACAATGGTGTAGATGATATTGTACTTTTTTTGATGAATACTTTTTTATCTGTTTCTGTGCGAATGTGATGTTGTTGATGTGATATGATGTGAGGGATCTTCTAGGTATGTGTATCTCATTTTTCGCGCGAATGTTACTTATGATTATGATTATCGTATCATATTATATTATATTATATTATATTATTTTATATTATATTATTTATTATCGTTATATTATATTATATTATATTATATTATATTATATTATATTATATTATATTATATTATATTATATTATATTATATTACATTACATTATATTATATTATTTAATATCGTTATATTATATTATATTATATTATATTATATTATATTATATTATATCGTATTGTATTGTATTGTATTATATTGTATTATATTGTATTGTATTGTATTATATTATATTATATTGTATTGTATTATATTGTATTGTATCGTATCGTATTGTATCATATCATATCACATCATATCATATTTGTCATTATCTAATTGCTTTTTAAATACATTAACAGTCGTAATAACCGATATTGAACATCCGAGCAAGTGATTTTCGGATATTGGTTAATCGTCATCGTCTTATGAAATCATAAGATAAAAAAGAGTTGCTTTCTGCATTGTATGTCATTTCTTATTTGTGCTGATCTTTCAAATTATAATTTAGCACGGGTTCATAAACAAATAATAATTAATTATTGGGCATTTTGTGTTCGGTGTCCTGCATCCATCCATCATCCTTCTTCGAGTTTCTTGACAATTCATTGAGAGAATTCGATGGTTAAATCCATTTCTGTTCGATAATTCGACACTACCAATACGCTGCATTGTTTATGGAATAGACGAGGAAGAAAATACATAGTGTGTTAGTGTTTTGAGTGTTGTGCGATGGACCCTGAGAGTTTAATTCTTGTCTGTTCTCTGAATATTTCAGTGTTTAATTGAATTCTTTTTTATTTGTAAGCTTTTGATAATATCTCGGGTGTGTGCGGAACCAATTAAACTGCATCACTTTTTTTGTGCAGCAAATAACGGCGACAAGTAATGCTTACCGCTTCTTCTGCAAAAAGCAAACAATTCCACCACACACCTTTCTCTGCCAAGAAGCGCTTGCTGATTGGTTAATTCGTTGAAAAGAATGAATTCGGTGAAAGACCCCTCTAAACAATAAGAACGACACAGCTGAAACATGCATCTGTCATATCAAAACGACGCAAATAACATAAAGTCATTAACAGGTATAAAATCAACGATGAAATTTTATGAATAGTATATAGACACAATGCATAAAAGAGATTTACATAGATAAATTATCAATGATGACGATGAATGGTGGTTGTGATAAACTATATGCATGTAGAGCATCAAAAAAGTACGGTTTTTTTATTATTCTCCATCTTAAATGAGACCCGTCCGGTCGGAGACTCAGGAGTACCAAAGATGCTTTGTCTGTTTACACATACTTAAGATGTTGTTTTTTTTAATTAATTACGAATGTGTCATTTTGTTTGTTTAAAAAAAAATATACTGTATGTTTGTTGGATTTTAAATACGTTGCTTATGTCGCTACTTCTATGATTCTGAGATAAACAAAATCTTCCGACTTTAGATCAAAAAAGCCAACTTCAAATACTATAATAAAAATACAGGTTTTCGTTCGAATTTGACTTGATTATGAAGAACGTAAAAAAAAAGTCCCGATAAATGGTGTCAGACAGAGAGAGGGGGAAATGACACACACACTCTCTTTTTGGTAATTTTTATCACCACCAATCCACACGCATAAACACGGATTTTTTCTTCAAATCCAGGAAATAATATAATATGATGTACAAATAAAACGTTTTTTTTACCTATCAAACATACAAAAGTAAATGAATGTGCTTTTGTTGTATCGTGTAACTAAATTAATTGTATCGAGTCTATAGCCAATTGCGCGCTTTTGACCACTTTGTTCCGATTTTATTCCGAGTTTCTTCTGATTTTGTTTTGATTTTGTTCTGATTTTGCCTTTAAATGATTAAATGTTGTTATATGTATATATATATATATATATATATATATATATATATATATATATATATATAGACTTTAAGTTTTATATGGGTGAAATTATATCGATATACATCTTTATTTTTAATTGGATTGAAATTAGAAATTTCGGAAAAATTGGGGTTGGATATGCAAGGCGACCAAGTATGGAAGGAACAAGCACAATTTAAATAAGTCCACACACTTATATATTGTTACATATCGATATCGATATGTATATTATAATATAGTTAAAAAAAATTCCGAGGTTGCACGACAAAATATTTTTTATTTTGATGCTTTATATGTGGTCGTACGAACCCGGGGTAAAGAGGGGAAAGGAGGTTTTAGTGTGTGATAGAATGATGTATATATATACTTCCAGTACATGCATTGTTCCGGATTAAGGTTGAAAAGATTGGCAAAGCCCAATTGGATTAACGTTAACGCAAAAGCGGGAAAATGTCATATTTATAACTAGGCAAAAGCGTTGTCGATCTAGGAATTTTATCATGTCACAGTTACATGTTGCCGATGCACTTATAATGACAATATCTGGTTTTTCTCTTTGAATCTAATTTTTTATTTACATTTTGTTTTTAGCGAACAACAACTACTATTTTCCTTGTTTGTTTTCTTAAACGTTTGATTACAAATGACACCATTCAAGTATTTCACTTCATTCAGATATCGGTTATCTTACTTGACGGGATTTTTCTTTAATTTCTGTATACCTTTATTCATAGACGCACGCATACTATCACGTTTTGCTTGTGTAATGTTTTAGTAATCTTATTAACTAATCGCACAGAGTAACACTTGCATCTTAATTTTCATATTGGCACATTCATAAGCATTACATGATTAATATTATTATCCTCAGAATTGGCATTTCTCCGATTTGAAAAATAGAGATTCATAGAGTCACCAATCGATTGACAAAATTCCATGACAACCACCAATCATTCTTTTCTCACAGTTGAGCTTTAGATTTCAAGATTGTCTAGAATGTTTATTGTGTGTTCATTGCACGAAATTATTATGTATAGGATGCGGAACTATCCCAAATAAGCAAGTAATCTTTGGCAATTACGCGTCTCCGTATAAGAAATAAGAATTACGACGTGTCGACTCCTTTATTTCGGTATATTACTTTATTTAGGTGTAGTTGCTGTGGTTGTGTGTTTGTATAATTGAACCTTGTTTTTATTAATAATTCTTTATTGTTAAACTAAATTTAAGAATGTAAATTTAAATATTTTTTATACGTCGTCTTGGATATGATTTAAATTCTTCGTCATTGATTTGTCTCTTCACAATTGCGAACAAAACGCGTAAAATATAGTATTCAGTATTTGAGATGCCATATTTATTCCTGTCTCTTTTTTGGTTTTTCGTTTGCGGTCAAAATAATTCATAAAAACCTTACTTTGATGTGAGTTTGCCGAATTCTTGAAAATCACGGCGAATTATTGCATAAGGAACAATTAATAATTGGTTATTTTACACAACGCGAGAATTCTAAATCAATTAATAAACATACATGTATAATAAAGACGCCCGAATTTACATATTAAGCGAGTTCATTACGTAATGCTCGAGTTGACGTGTAGCCATGCGAAATTAGCTCATAGTAGGTACCAAATGCGAAAAAACAGCACGATTATGCAGATGTATTGAAAGTGGGAGAAATAAAATTTTGTATACTGATTCCAGTATCGCTCTTTATATGCTGCTCAAAATACGCGAATTTAATTAAAATTTTAATTAACTGAGGCAGGATAAGTCTATCTGCCTGTCTATGAGCAGGGGATATATTAAAGCAATTTGCTTTTTCTTTTATATTTGATAATGAAACTACAAATTATGCTGAAACTTTCTTTTTAGACAATGTAAAAGACAAGGTGATCTAGACTTTTGCCTGAAGCAATAAAAAAAAGTTTCTTTCCCAAAAACATGAAATCTAAAGAAAAGTCAAGTAGCCAATGCAATATGTTGAATATAAATATCATATAAAAAAATGAGAATTTTAGCCTTTCTATAAAACAAATTTTTTAAAAAATCGCATAGTGAAATCTAAATTAATTATTTGCGGAAAAAATAATAAAAAAATTGGACCAAGTTGTGGTTCAAATTTTTACAAGGGGGATAATACTATACAGAGCGCTTTACGGTAATTCTTTTTTTTTTCATTATTTGTAAATTTACCTGTTGAAAGCCATCATTAGTAATTGGCTAATTGCAAGGACCGTGGTAACGGTAATTGATTTTGTAAAGGATTATTGCTTGCAAGAATAGTAAATACTGAAGCATGAATACTTTTTTTTTGTGTGAAGTGTATTAGATTCTGATAGTAATTCTCATTATTAGCTAACACGCGATTTTATTCCTCACGTCTGCTAATATAAAATAATACTAATAAGGAAAATCTTTAGTATTTTCATATATATTTTTCATTATCGCTAATATCACTGGAAGCAAGAGACCGATTCGAAATATCGAAAAAATATCTTTGGGTGTTCTTTCCCATACTCATAGCAAAGACCAACTAGAAATATCGCTTCAATTTGCAAATGTCGAATAGCTCTTGAATGTTTTATTTTCTGTCTTCTACCATCTTCATGAGATTCTGTTGGGCACTTTTATGACCACTCATCTACATTAAATTCATCTTTGTCAGTTCCTTCGCCGTCCTTATAACCCCAAGCAAGATTATGTTGGGCTCTAATGTTTCTCCCCTTGAGAAAGTATTTTTAGTCACGTATGCAGCCAATCGAGTCATAATAACAAGCCCCAAAGCATTGATTCCTGATAAATTTCCATGCTGATCGAGATACTAATAATATGCACTTTTAAAAATTTACCATTGTCCCGATTCCTAATAAATATTGTGCATAGGTATCTCACGACGACCAGCCGAGTTTTGATAGTATTGGAAGGCGAATTTCTTCATAATTATAGAATTCAAAGCCCAACACTGTCATATGTTGAACATTTTCATCAAGGGAGCTTTTGAAAAATTCAAAGAGATTAAATTCACGCTCGTCAAGATACGTGATAAGCAATCGCAAAGATCAAAAAGAAATTCCATTTCGGAACAATAATCAGAATCATTTGCTTTTCAGGGTTGATTATTTTTTAATGTTTTTCAATATTTGCTGATTTGAGCATTTTCCAGAAGGCTCTTCTATTATTAAGCATCGATATCTCCATCAAGATAGTCTTCTGCTGAGAACCATGACTAGAGGCACTAAAGGTAGTAATTGTGATAAGTAATAACTTTCTCTAGACAATAATTAATATTGGTGGTATTGATATTTGCAATGGTAGCAAGACGAATAAGAAAATAAAATAGCGAACAATAAGAAAAACAAGGCTGAAAGTTTAAATACTGATGAGCTTGCTAGCGATTAATAGACACGTCTACTACTAATAATCGAATATTAAAGACGGGTTTCCCTCTTTATTTTTTAAGGAGCATTCGAAGAAACTAAATCTGCATGATTAAGGGTATTAGAAAATGACAAAGTAAAGGATTCAAAGAATATTTATTCAGCGCTAATTACCAAATATACCAAATAGCAATAATAGATTAAAATATAGCTAAACTATATTAAAATACATAATCAAATTTAGCTCAACATATAAATCATTCGTATCTTTGCGTCCATATGCCCTTGTCTATCCGCCTTTTGATACCATTTAAAAGCTTCAAGAATATCTTTGGGCGTTCCTTGCCCATTCTCATAGCAGAGACCAACTTGAAGCATTGCTTCAATATATCCCGAATTTGCAGATGCCAAAAAAAACTCTTGAATGCTTTATTCTCATCTTTTTTTATTCCTTTACCGCTTCTGTAACATATACCAAGATTACATTGGGCGTCAGATTGTCCGTATTCTGCTAATTTGAGAAATAACTCAAATGCTTTAATCTCATCTTTATCTGTGCCCGTGCCGTCATGATAACATAGCGCAAGATTATATTGGGCATCTTCACTACCCTCAACTGCTTTAAATTTATTTTGGTTAGTTCCTTTGCCGTTTGCATAACTCAAAGCGAGATTATATTGTGCTCTAATGTTTCTCCCTTCTGCTGATTTGAGAAAGTATTCGTATGCTTTTTTATAGTCACATATGCAGCCAATCGGATCATAATAACAGCCCCCCAAAGCATTAATTCCCGATAATTTCCATTCTCTGCCGATCGAGAATACCAATAATATGCACTTTTAGAATTTACGACTGTCCCGATTCCTTCTTCATAGCATTTCCCTAGTAAATATTGTGCATAGGCATCTCCACGACCAGCCGAGTTTTGATAGTATTGGAAGGCGAGTTCATCATCTTTATTAACTTGAATTCCATAATTATGAAGAAAGCCCAACATTGTTGTATGTTGAACATTTTCATCAGGGGAGCTTTTGGAAAATTTCGAGAGATTAAATTCACATCTATCAAGATATGCTCTTAGTTGTGTGGCGATTCGGGATAAGCAATCGCAAGAATCAAATAACTCATGAAAGAAGTTAATTTCCATTTTGTAGCAATAATCAGAGTTGAAGTTATAACAGTTAATCGGATGCAAGCAGTATTTATTTTCGTAAATAAAACGTGTGTAACAAATAAGTTTTTATCTTTAAAGCTTTCTGAGAAAAACCCAAGATCACATTCAGTATCAAGAACTCCTATTTAAGCTCAACGCTTTATTATCACACAGAGGCATTTAATATTTTCGCTCTCTTTGTTCTTTAGATCATTTTCATAGAATTCTACACAATTGAATAAACGTAGTAATAATACTTATAAATTTACTTGCTTAAACTACATGAAGATACTAATATCCCGAGTACCAATTTAATTTGTAATTTTCCGTCCCTATATCCTTGTCTGTTCGCTTTTTGATACCATTTAAAGTTTCATGGATATTCTCGGACATTCCAACTTGAAACATTGCTTCAATATTTCCCAAGTTTGCAGATGCCAAATAACTTGAATTCTTTATTTCCATCTTTTTTTTGTTCCTGTCACGTTTATAACATCCACCAACTGAAATGCTTTAGGTGGCCATAAAACACGTGATTATCTCTTCATATGAGGCTCACTATAATATCACATGATCCATATATGGGGTAGGTTATTGTTTTTACTGAATGGCTTCGGGATATACAAAGCATCAACGAATACGACCCGCGATCTGTGTTATGGGCGTTGAAAGGCAAAATAAATATTTTCCAGCGATTTCACATGCCAAAAGTAAACTTTTTGCGACCTCCAGCTGTTCCAAAGGTAAATCGGGTAGAATATAAAAATCAGTAATGGCAATTATTTAATTTATGAAGTTAATAAGTCACGTGAGCGTGAAATTTTGTTGGCGATGTTGAGACTCCCTATCCAAGTCACGTGATTTCTGCCTTCCCTTTCATCTTTTTTTGTTCCTTTACCCCCATTTACAACAAAGACCAAGCTTATATTGGGCTTCGAAATACCATTCAAATGCTTTATTTTCATCTCTGATTGTCCCTTTACCGTTTTCATAACATATACCATGATTAATCCTTGTTCTACATACTAGAAATTGATAGTGCTTCTTTGCGGTAGAGCATTACGAATTTGTTAATCACTCGTGCAGATCACGACCTTTGAGAGGCATGACATTAACAGTGTGATGGCTGTCGCAAAATGTCGGTTATGATATGCTTGAATAGTTTTTGACGAACAGGTAGTTTACTATTTTTGAACAATGGCCTCCTCGTATTGACTATAACTCGCTTAATAACTTGTGAACTGAACGCACTATATTTATTATGATCTACACTATCCTAGCAAAGGTATTCGTTACGATTTTTTTTGAAGTTTTTGACTTATTGAATAATATTTTTAATCCATCGCGGGAGCCCCTTTGGTTTTTATACATTCTCTTTGGCATGCTTTCAACCAATTTTATATAGGTATCTGCAGAAGTTGCAACCCATTCTTCTTGCGATGCTTTTTCAAGATCGCCAAGATTTCTTGGATGCAAAGATTGGTTGCGAATTCTTTTTTCAAGATTATCCCACAAATGTTCAATAGGATTCAAATCTGGAGATTGAGAAGGCCATTTTGAAAGAACCTTGATCTTCTGTTGTTTGATCCAATCTTCATCTTTGGAGAAAATTTCGAAACCACAATGTAAACACATGCCGTTTCACAAAAAATGTAGATTTAAAAAAACGGGTTAAATTATTATTATGTAGAATGTTGAGCATTTCAAAAAAAAATCGTAACGAATATTGTTGCTAGGATAGTGTTTCCCTTCAACAAGAAAGATCTTTACACATAAGATCACACGCTTTTCTTGGTGGTTTATTGTGCATGATTTTTATTACATATAATTCTGTTATGATGCTGACTGAGTCCATGATTTGTTGAGTTAGCATAATTATAGTAGAGTGAAAATTGATATAACGGATGGGTAACATCCGTTATATCTAGACACTACTAATGAGTCCTTTATATCGAGTAGAATTTTATTATAAACTGTTGCCTGAAATTAATTCATTTCAAGTATTAATAGATACTGATCATTAATTTAGGCCTGAAATGTGCAAAACTTTAAATTTAATAATCGTGTCATAATAAAGAATTCAATGTCATTTCTATTCATTAGGAATTAGTACAAACACAAGGATTAAATCTATAAATTATTGGATATATTTTAACTCTAAGTCGATTGATCGATATTTTCACCCAACAACCGACTCAGATGTTTAACCAACTCTTTATTCTCATCCGGCGTACCAACTGTAATCCGTAAGCACCCTTCACATCCAACTTCGTTTCCACGATACCTGACCACGATCCTGCTATGTTCTGCCAATTCTCGATACAGCCATTGAGCTCGATTACTAGACGGTGATTGACGAGCTTCATCCAATATTTGGACCAAGAGGAAATTTGTGTCTTTTCCACCGATTATTTTAATTTCAGGAATGCTTTTTAGAGAAGTTGTGAGCTTTGCGCGTTCAGAGAGAATCGTGATGATTTTGTTGCGCATGTTTGAAATGTTTTCGGTGGTTAGTGCTGATAGTGCAGCTTTTGATGTTAGGGTGCTTATATTATATGGAGCTTTTGTGTTGTTCATTAGACGTATGATCTTTGGGTTTCCTATTGCAATACCTAGTCTAATCAAATAAAGACGTCGTAAAAAATAAATTAAAAAGATTTGAGAATTTGTAAAGAGAATAATTATTAAAAAATACCTAATTCCCGCCAATCCAAAACTTTTACTCAAAGTTTGCATAACAATCAAATTCGGGTATTGTTCAACCCATTTTACGACACTTCCAATATTATCATCACCTTTTGTGAAATCAATGTAAGCTTCATCGACGGCAACAATTCCGTGAAAATTAGGATCTTCGAGAACAGCCTTGATCGATGAATAATTCAGTGCATTACCAGTTGGGTTTCCTGGCGAACATAGAAAAATTATTTTCGTGGTGGGATTTTTTGATAATGCATCTGAAATCTTTAGAATTTATAGTTTTAATTTTTATGAATTTTTTTTGACAAAAATTACATAGTAGAGATGCGAATTATATATACCTGCTCATTCTGCAACTGAAACCGATCCTCTCCATCTTCAATTTGCAAATTAACTTTATAAATCTCCACATCATTAATCTTCGCTGAGACTGGATACATCCCATACGTCGGAGGCGTAATCAAAATTTTATCTTTTCCAGGTACACAAAATATCCGAATCAACAAATCGATAACTTCATCCGAGCCAACACCAAGAAAAAGGTAATCGGTCGATGGCACCCCACGAAACTCGACCAAACGTTCTTTGACGAGAGTTTGATGTGGATCTGGGTATCGGTTCAGGTGGTCATCTGTTGGACTCTTTGTCGGCGTGTGGAATCGTGTCTCGTCAAGTGATGAACCTAACGAGTTTTCGTTAGCATCGAGTAGTATCCCGGAAGAGTAGTCGTCTCGTGCGCATCGATATGGTGAGAGTGATAGTATATTTGGTCGGACTATTGATTCTAGAGAAAAATTAGAAAAAGACATTTTTCCGCCTTTTTTATTTGACTGATTTGATCTAATTGATAGATAATCTTAAGGATTAAGTCAACTCGGATAATCTTATGATTATCCGGATTGACTTAATACACATGACCTGATCTGTAACACATTCAATGATTCTCAATATGCGCATGATATAATATTTGAATTTAAGATTAAAGTATGAATTTTTTATCTGCACAACCAGTCTCCAATCTGCGGTGCGCAGACTGTGAAGGTCAATTTTAAACACTGGGTTTGGCCCAGCAAAATTCTGGCTGGACCAGACAAAGGACTTTAATGTTCTTAAAGTTAATAGTAAACCATATGGGCACATATATTTCAAGACAGAAAATAACGCGGGAATCTTTTATCATGTTGAAGGAAAATCATTTCCTGGATCAGCTAGTACTATCATAAATTTCATACCTTCTAAAGAAGAGGAAATGATGAATTTACTGTTTATCAAATTCGGATAACTAATTCAATATCATGCTGATTTATAGTGAAGTAAAAATCTGGTTTTTTTTCTTATTTTGTTTATCGTTATTGCATTTCTAGAATGATCACAACCTCGGACCCTCACCAATGAAAAGAAGTGCCGAATACTCACTAACAACACCACCGGCGTGAAATCAAATTGGAAACTGATCGTGACCTGGAGAAATTCGCAACGCCACCGAACGAAAATGGCGGCTAAACTCTGAACTAATAGCTTACGTGACCGGTTTCGTACCGAGTTTCTTGAGTGTGGGTGTTTAGCGTTTCTTTTCATTGGTGGGTGTCTAGTTTCTTCATTTCGTTGGTGCTGTCGCAAGTTTCGACTAGTTTCCGGTTTGGTCTCGCACTGGTATCGTTGAACACCTATACATCTGGAACACATGATCAGATCTTTGCGACCTATAGTCCTATAATTAAGGTGAATATTTTTGCGTTTAGATCAACAGAATCGGGGCAATATTTGTGGAATTATTGGTATCCAAAGTTGGCGCATGAAAAATCGCAAAATGCTGGACTTGGGTTCGTTTGATTCGCCTGATCAAGACAAAAATTGGGAGAAATATAAGCGCCCAAAGTTGATTGCTTTTTCTTGGTATTTTTCCGAGATCGCTGATGTTGGCTAGGGTTAGTAAGAGTTTCCCAGGTGTCCAGTTTCTCCGTGTTGGTTTCGCCATGACCGGATCCAGTGTGTTCTTTGGTGAATATTTGATATTTTTCAGATGAAATGTGAGTCTTTGGGTGGAAATGGTCTTGAAAAATCAATTTTAACAATGTCAACAAATCAAATAAAATTTTTAATTGGTCAGTTTATTTTTGTTGTCAACCAGAAACACTGTAAAATTGCTTGCCAACTTTATGATTAGTACTTTTAGTGTGGGTTTATTCAAAATGTTAAAGCTCATTGTCATTGATGAACCAACACTAGTATTTTTATTGGTTATTATTGATTTAGTGAATGGTTGTCTGCTGATCAAACTTATTCAGCCAATCATTATTTATCACGTGAAGTTTCACATGATCTGGGTCCGAATCGAATTCTACGTCACATGATACTACCTGGCTTTAACGCACCCAAATTTAATTAGTTGTGTACCTTGATAGTTATGATAGTCCAAATATTATTTTAATGATTAAACACATAATTACTACCGCTACACATTACAATAAAGTAATTGACCGATTAATATCTATATATATATAATTTTCCTTCATTCATTAAATTAATCTACTTTTCCCATTAGTTAATAATTTAATAGCATTTTATTCATTTATTGGTGTTGCTGAATTGGAAGAAAATTTCCAACAATAGAAGACTAAAAATGATAAATATTAGAAATTGACGCACCGTTATCAAAAAAATTATAAAGAAAAGGAATTCTTTGCTTACCGGTCTATTTCCAAGAAAAAAATAAAAAATAGAATAAGTTAACATCAACTTCCCAAAAGATCAACATCTCAAAATACAAAAACCAACAAAAATACTCACATGTTATACTTGTCCCTCCGAATAGTGAACGAGAAACAGCAATTTATGACATTCGGATGTTGTAATTGATTGATGCTGTTACTGTTATTAGTGTTGTTGCTGATACTACTGCCATCAATGTTATTATTGTTATCGATGTTATTATTGTTGTTGTTATTGCTGTTGTTATTAATGTTGCTGCTGGTGTTGCTATTGTTATTGTTATTGTCGCGCGGACGTTTCAAGAGACATGAAGTTAGCACGGCTTTTTGTCCCGGATCGAATGCAATGTTTCCGTATTTCTGCATATTAAGTTATTTTTTTTAAATATATATATATGGAAAAATTCGAAATATACTCGAAGCTTTCCAAATAATAATAAAGTAAAGAATGAATACCTCCCAATAATTCACTGCAGATTCTTCAGCCATTATCTATTAATTTATACAATAATAAAATACTAAGTACAAAGACTCCAACACACCGAGAATCACAAAGAATAAATACAACCCAATAAATTACTATAAGATTAATTCACCTCATAGATACATATCCGCCCCTCTCGTAACATTTCAATAGGAACACCAACAAGCGACGCAAATTCTTTATTACCCTTGTAGATCTCGCCAGTTCTTCGCCACAAACATGCGGGTATTCCCATTGAACTGAATACTCTATCGTAATCCTGATTTGCCATTGATCATATTTGTTTATCATTATATTTAAAATTATTGTTAATACAAAGAAATTCATATTATGACAATGAATAGTGAATGGTGATGAAGTTTTATTTTACCAACCAATAATAGTCTCTCAAACTGCTCTTCAACCAACACCAAATCCAAATCCATTAGTGATTGAGCAACAGCACGAAACGCTGGTCGAAACATTCCTAAAGAAAATAGAATTCTTTGTCGACTATTATTTGTCATGCTAATCATTTAACGTATTGATAAATAATAATGATAATAAATTAGATAAATATAAACGAAAGATCAACACTCTAAAAATAGTCCTTTACTCACTTCTTTTCCATAAACTGTTGCAGCCTCGCATACCCTTTCACATAATTGTACGGCTTCAAAAATCCTGCCTCGAATTTCGCGTTAATCACTTGAGTCAGTCTTGCCTCCGAAGTTCCATCTGATGGATCTGCAGCTGTTAAATAAAACTTTTCGGTGATATTTAGTGGGCTGCCGTCAATGTTAAATTGTTGTTGATGGTTTCCGTGTATGTCTTCTAGGAATTCGCTATTTTTTTTTATTAATTCAAGATTTTCGCAATAAATAATTAACAATCTATGTACATATTTATTTGTTACCTAATGACGGTAAACTCATTTCCCATTTGCGCACTTGCAAATTTTAGAGGAGTCGAAGGTAATGGCGAGTAAGCTGACATCTGATTAAAAGCTATTTATCGTTAAAAAAATTATTAATAGCCCGAAATTAAAGAATTTCCTACTATCAATAAAGATCTCGGAATAAATGTAAAAAAGTACCATCTGTTGGTGGTAAAGATATCAAATTTGCATTAATTGCTGAAGGAGGATGATGAGAACCACCTCTATCATTGACAGCAGAGGCTATTTGTTGCGCCGTCGAATTGGCTGTTATTTTTGGCTCATCGTGACACATGTGTCCTATACTACGTTTTATACATCGTTGACATGGTCTTCCTACGTTATTGTTATATTATAATATTAATTTTTGTTTTATTAAAAGGAATTAATAATCTTCATAAAAAGATTCACTTCGCTCACTAACCATCATCACAAGTCATATGTGACCTACGACAATAGACACACGCTGTAAGAGTGAATCAAACATCAATGTTTCCAAAAGATTAATTAATTAAAGCAATCATTAATATGAAAATCATATTATTATCTACCATGAGTAACTTTTCTTCGCTTCGGACCCGCTCTCTTTTTCTTTGTTTCATTAGGGTCTTTATTATTATTACTACCACTACTGCTATTGCTACCACTACTACTAATATTAGTGTTATTTAAATTTTGTTGCTGCTGTTGTGGTGAATTTAATGATGCATTGTCACCATCGCCAACACCGCCACCAGACAGAGATCCGGTCTCAGTCTTTATTGAAGGGTCATTGTTATTACTATTACTATTATTGTTATTATTACTATTATTATGATTATTATTACTATTGATGTTTTGAGGATTATGATGTTGGTCGGGTAATAGCAACTGTTGCTGTGAAAGAGAAGGAAGAGGAGTTAATTGCTGCAGGGGAAAATATTGTTCCGGAGTTTGAAAAGTATTAGTATTAGTGCTGTTATTCACGATACTGGTGAGCCTCTCTTTATCGTTCATTTGTCGAGAAATTGTGTTGTGGCAAGAGGAGAGCAAAGACTGACTATAATCTTTTTACTTGAGCAGATTACTTGGTTACACGTTTTAAGCTAGATTTTCCAATAATTATTGCATGAGATGTAGATTTTGACCACAAACTTCGCAGAAATGGATACAGAAATGGATAATGTAAATGATCAAATAACTGCAATAGAACAAGGAGGAAATATAGCGATAGAGCAAAATGAATTTAATAATATTAACGGAAATGATAATTTATATTCTCATAACAATAATAACTACTGGCCAAGCGATGAAGAATCAGACGAAGCAGCACCATTTGCATACGAGGCATTACCTCAGGATGAAAATGAAATCAATGAAGACGAAGATGACGAAAATGATTACTATAAAAATAGTAATGAAACTCAAATACCAACAGGAAACACACAGCTATTATCATCGTCATCGCAAACAATAACAACATCAACAACTTTTCCTCCTCCACCAATACTAACAATTCAAGCAAGTAAAATAGAAATGATACAAACTAATGATCTATCGATAATTAATGACGTCATGCAAAATATTAGGATTCCAGAATCCGCTGTTCCTGGTATTTTATTCATTTTGTTTATCGTTTTTTTTTTTGTAATTACTCTTTAATTATAGTTGATTTATTTTGTTGGATAGAATGGGCAAGAAGTATACCTGAAGAATCGTGGTTACCGCGTGTAATTGTAGTAGATGATGGAAATGAAAATATCGAAAATTCATCCTTGTAGTCCCTGCCACTTTGTTATAACGAGGGTCGAGTATATATGTCATTTTCCCAATCATGCTCATTATTTATTTGATAACCTTTGCTTGATTTTTAACATGGTCAATATCGATATGAATTGATACAACGTCGTTTTTCTTTTACATGGCTTCAACATATTGTATACGTTGCATATATTCTATTTGTATAAATACCAATCACTTTATCGAGGCACCGAAAAATTAGTGCTGGCTCTTGTAATCATTACTATCAATATTGAAAGATAAAAGAAAATAATCTAAATAATATTATGGCCCGGCAAAGACTGGGTCCTGGACCGGTCTCGTGAACTGGTCACGATTCGGTGGTTGAGAATCAGTCCATTTAAAGTAACGTAATACGATAGGCGTTTTTGCGTCACATACATAAATTATTGGTTTATATAACAAACAAATTGATTAATCGATCAAAACTTGAAATTTTAATTTCAAGTTTGGACCGATCCGTAACATCCCTATCATACAGAGGAAAAGACAGGGTAGATAACTCGAGGTCCAGATGCAGACCAATGAAAGTTTACTAATTTGGGATAACACATAATTGATTTACATCATAAACTATCACGAATCAAATATAATAATAAAAAACCACCACCATCACTCCCATTAGTACTCAATTCTAAGCTATCGTATTTCGATATCTGTGAAACCGCGTAACAACCTCTTCGTAGATTGTCCACGCGATAGCCGACTGCACTGTCTTGCGTGCTAAGCGCAATGTTATACCGTCGAAAAATCCAAGAAATCCTTCTTCCTAAAATAGTTAGTTGGCGTTTAATATTTAAATTAATAAAACATTAAGGGTATTATTATTCTAGAAAATAGATTAATACCCGAAGCATTTTACGTCCAGCTTGTAACGTGTTTCGATAGTCAAGTGGTCTTAATTGCATTCGCGTCTTTAGCATATCGAATGGTTGCGTGATTATAGTTGCTGCTATGCCTGCAAACACAGCTAGAAAGAAAAATACATGAGACACGGATATAAAGAAACAGAACGAACAGTATCTCTTACTCGGTTAATTATGCTCCTTTGACTCACCTGAAGACGAATGAATTATCGGCGACGCAATTGTATATGAATTGGCTGTTTTCCAAGCTTGATCAATTGAAAAGTTGAATATTAACAATAATAAAAAAGACACTAATAAAAAATTAAGTAAGTCAAACCTCCAATCCACAATTTCGCCCGCTCATAAAACAAAACATATAACCCTGCTTGTGGAGCATCTCTCAGCACAGTTGCGCCATAGCCATAAAACAAACCCCTGATTCCTTCTGTTTTCAGTATTGAAGCTGCTGCGCCCCATATACTTTTGTAATTGTAGAAGGAACTCTAAAATTTACAAATTTGATTAATTCTACTTATCAAAGAATAATAAGCGAATAGCACACTCTCTCTATTAATCTTTGCCTACCTCGTACCTAACCTTAATAATCGTAACCGGCATCACCATTAACCCGGCGAGGCTTCTTGCTGTCATACCAGCAATCAAGTTATCGCGACTTGAAAGAACTGGTAAAGATGATCCGGAAGCAGATGTTACTGTTGTATGGAATTGTGAATATTGTTTAAATAAGTGACGAACTTCTGATAGCGTAAGAAAATATAGAGCTGATCCGGGAACATTTCTGTTTAATTAATTAATAATTCAGTACACTTAGTATTTATCTTTTAACTACAATTTAAAAATAACCAATAATTTGCAAGTTCGTTACCGAAGTATAGTAGGAACAGTACCACGCCATAACCCAGTTATCGAATCTTGGGCAATAATATTTCTCACTGTTGACACTAAGACACTACATTCAATCAAAACTATCAAAAAAACGTAGAACCAAATTATACCAACAAAGAATGTCGCATCCTTCCTACCTGTTCGTAGGAGAAAATCTAGCACTCGACGAATTCTGTAGTTGGTTATGAAGATGTCGTTCTTGTTGAAGACGCGTTTTCAACAAGTCAAATGGTTGTAATAGGGTACACGAAGAGAAGCCGGATATCGCACCAGCTGTTAAGTGTGCTATTGGGTCTTTTGTAGGTTTCTTTGTCATCTAATTGTAATGAATTTTAAGATAAAATCACAGGAAGAAAAAGTTGAGCTGTCTTCGCTGTCTTCTTTATTAGTTACACCACTTGTGAAATTTTATGATTACTGCATGTATCCTGCATATCGATAACCGTGTCAATTATATGGATCGATATGCAGGATACATGCAGTAATTATTTGCAAATTAAACAATTTACGTAATATTAAAAGGATCAATATTAACCAATCACATATCCAGAATCTTAACCCTAGCCAATTAAAATGAGCAAAACCTCTTAAGCTGTTCTATATAAATTCGATTATACCCTATTTAAGTGTATAGTATGGTAAAAAAAATAAACATACCAAGGAAAAAGCTTAACATGTACTACCTGTATACTGTGTTGATTTTATACTGTACTATGCTATATTAATACAGTACATGAAATAGTATGTACACTCGGTGGACAAAAGTTTACAATCAGCAATGATCTACAAATGTAGATCACGAAAATTAGGGTAACTTCAACACTTCATTACTCGATTTTTTTATTAATAAATTACATTAAAATATATACTATTTTATTCAGTAAAAACAGGGCTAT